AGGTATGAGGACATAAAGACAAGGGACACAGGGATAATGTATACTTTGTTATCGTGTGGTATTTTGTTAAATTATGCTAATTCATTCCTAATACAATACATCCTGTTGTGTAATGTTACGGCTCCCCGGTGATATTTTACGTGCTGGGGTATTTTTTTTAGTTTTTGAAATTTGGGATATTTCTTTTATATATGGCAAAAGTTGGGGCATTTTTTTTATTCTCCCTAAATAAAAACCAGTTTTGAATTTAAACCGATGAGTCAATTAGCCTTAGTTAAGGTACTAACTTCTCTTGAAGGTAGCGGATTGCGATCCGCTGCACTCTGGTTCTTGAAAAGAACAAAAGGTCGGTCACCTAAATTACGCTTCCTTAAGCGCAAAGCTACGGCAGCCCCGCTGCAGTCGGCACTTTATCTAACAGATTATAACAATACATTAAAGGATATGCATCCAGAAAATGTATTATATCAACTATTCTTCCATATAAAGCAAAAGCATCCGACATTCATCCAATCAGGCTTTTTGTTATCCCTTTCTAGCAAATCATGTATCCTGTGATACATGATTTGCTGAAAAGGGAATTTTGCAATTTATAGTATATTTGCTTACTATTTGATGTGACTCAACGATTATAGTAAGTGGCTTTGAAATACTATCCATCCCTAAGCCAACTTAACTTGATTGTCGCTTCCACTGCCATCATGTCTAAGCGCGACCACTCCAAGATCTCATCCGGTAGTGTTCTCGACAGTATGCTAAGCTCACTATCGCGTACCAACGAGTCAGCACTCACAGCCAAGAAAGCGGAGGCGCAGGTGGCAAAGCTAACGGCTGGCCGTGGTCAAACAATTTCTGTCGATGAAAAGTCTGCTGCACCCGACGCTGCTATCGCACAATTTCTACAGGAAATGCGTTCGCTGATTGATGAAAAGGGATTTGGAGCCATTGCGGAGGTAGAGCTTCGATTTGGCCGCATCACGTCATGTCTACAGGAGGCTCGCTGTCGCCCCTCCCAGGAAGGCCTGGATGCCGCTGTCATACTCACGGACGATCAGATGAAGGCTGTGGGTGCCAAGTTTGTACCTGGTGTAGCTGAGAACGACTACAAGGGTTTTGTGCGTGGTGTGGAGGGTATGCTGCGTGGAGACGCGTATTCGGAACACAAAGAGAAACAGGTGGTGCACAACATAGGTCAGTCGAAGCGAATAGTGCAGGATATTGACCCACACAACAATATGCGTGGCAAGGCAATGGTACAAGTAAAAGAGCGCCTAGGTTCTATTGACATATTCTTGCCGCGTTGCCAGTACGATTGTCGCATATCGATCTCATGCGAATTTCCTCTGCGTGAGCTAGAGGGAGACATGAGCGAGATGCCTGCAGCAGAGAGTGTTCGCCACAAAGACCGCGTATCAGCAATTGGACGTGACCTGCGTGTTGACCTTACTCAGGTGCTTGAGGAGAGCACAAACAAAAAATCGTTTGAGGTTGAAGTGGAACTTAGCGAACCGGCCGTGAACGGCTGGCTTAGTCAGCCAGATGAAAATGGCCAGAGTTGGAAGAGCGCTGTTGAGACATCGTCAATGCTCTGGAAAATGGTCAAATATTTTATGCCAAACTCGGGTCAGGCATTTAAACGCCACTGGGACTTTCCAGGCGCGACTGAGGTACAAAATGCCTATCAAGGCCGACTGGGCATCCGTGGCAAGTTTAGTGGTACGATGCCCGTCGGCTTTGCGCGCTGGCATATTCCACTTGTGCAAAGTCGAGAGTATTTTGTTTCCGAGAAAACAGATGGAGTTCGTTACTTTTTGGTCGTTGCCGGTGGCACAACTGTTTTAATAGATCGTTCCAATTCGCCTTTTGCTGCGTCTGGGCTGGACTTGTTGAAGCTTGTGTTGCCAGAAGGCACAGTGCTTGACGGCGAACTTGTGGTACGTTGGCGTTGGAAATTTATCACTACAAGCTTAATGAGACAGCGTCCATCATTACTGTATTTTGTAGTTTCATCAAAAGGATAAGCGATATGTGTTTATTGCGTTCGACATCATTGCGACTGGCCCATCCGCTGACGACTCTCATGTTGAAAAACCTTTTGTTGATCGCCTAAGGATACTGAATGACTTTTTGTCCGAGGAGTACGTTCAAGTAAAGTTGCTTCTTAATATCGAACATGTGATAATAGTGATCTTTCTGATGTTTAGGGGGCCATATGCATCAGGCATTCGGAACTTGGCCATTAATCGACATGCGATATTGTATATTCTTCGAAAGAAGTGGGTTCCACACCGACACATAATGGAGGTTTTCCGTCAGATTCAGCGTGTTCAAAAGCGTGACCACAGCATTGGCCGAATTTACAGTGACGATAAACGCGTTCACTACACGGACGGAATGGTGTTTTGCCCTAATACTAAATATGTGACTAACACAAACCAAGAATACCTGAAGTGGAAATGGTCAGATCTTATCACGGTGGACTTCCTGGCAACGCTTAACCAAACAGCTGACGGCGTCCAGCTGTCATGTGGTGGTCCTCGAAATACACTCATTGAGCTTGATTCTATTGTTCAGTTGGACCCGAAGGATGTGCCTTTGGTGCTTAAGCTGGTCTCTAAGACACCTAATCGTCAGGCAGTGCTGGAATTTGCTTTTAACGCTGATAAGGGTCTTTGGAACTACAAATGCGCGCGCCCGGACAAGGACTGTGCCAACTACATTCGTACGGTCCTTGGTTCGCTAGTGAATATGGCGGAAGGTATCTCGGAAGAGGAGCTGCAATATCGACTCACGAACCCGAATGGCCATGACTGGAACAACCACATGAAAAACTTGCGCCGCACACTGCTGGAGCAGCACAAGTAAGCAGAGGGTTTGTGCCCGCAATTGATGAAGCATCGTAGAGATGACGCAGGGACGACGTAAGCTAAATAATTAATATAAATAAAGTAGTCGCAACACGTAAAACCGTAATTTACATACCAGCAAGGCGCATTCTCCCACTCTTGCTTCTCTGTTTCTTGTAGTTCTACTTCATTATCATTCTTCACGGCATAAAACTTGATAAGAGCCAGGGTGGCTCTTCGAGGTCTTCATTTAGTATCAAAGTAGCCACCCTGATCTACAGTACGATAGCAATATGGCCATACTTTACCCTCTTACGTATATATGCACTTTCCAACAATCTGCTATGTATGACTCACGCAGCAAGAATTCAAAGCACCGTTCGCCACAGTTTGTTCAGCAAATGCATGCACGCTTGGTTGTTGGTCACCCAGACAATAAACTGTGAGCATGTAAGAAATATGTTGTGAGAACAAGAATTACTCCTCCAAGTCTGAAATCAAAAAATCACTCACCTTTGCACGTTGGGTGGGAGTCAAAATATTTTGCAGCTTTTCCATCTCCGTGTCTAATGTCGAGTTTTTGTTCGTCACTTCCGTCTTAAGTTCCGCCAGCAATTCTAAAGCACTCTTGAGATTCTCACAAATTAGTGAGATAGATCCCCGTTGCTGCTGAATCTTCTTTTTTTGATCCTCGCTTAGCCCAAGCTCTTTTGCCAATATTACTGGCAGGCTGGTCTCGTCTTCCTCTTCCTGCCAAAAACTATCGTCTTGACGCAAAGCCCAGATGCACATTTTGGTCACCTGGGTAGGCAACAGTAAACGCTCGATTTGATGGAGATGATAGCTTAGTGCCGAGCGGCGGCCGTGACCGTAGTCCGAATACTGTTCTTTGAAATTGTCAATTTTTTCGGCAAGTTCCTTCTCTGAAGCGCCACACTTGATCATCTTTTCAAGCTCCTCACACACCCGATTTTTTTCTTTTTCCTCCTGCCGAATAGCTTCTTTACCAGCCTTTAGTTGCCCACGCAGCTCCATATTCTCGCGCTCTAACTGGCGACATCGCTCTTCCACACCCAAAATATGCTCCCTCTTACGGCGTCTGCATTCGCGTGCAGATTCGCGGTTGCGCTCGAGCTTAAGTTTACGCTGTAGGTTTGTCATACCGAAAGTGTTATTTGTGTCACTGCTGCTACTGCTGGATGTTAAACACTTTTCCGTCTTTAGGGATTTAACAGCCGAATCCGTCAAAGCAGGGACCACAGCATTATTGTGGATAGCTTGGCGTTTCTGCACCAGCGCGTTATTGGCGCTCTCAAGATGGCGCAACAAACCCTCCGTGTTTGTTAAAGGCAACCCATGTAAATCCTTGGCCACCTCGGCGGCGGCACGCTTTTTGCCGCGTTGAGTTTGCGAAGATTTGGTGGGTGCAGATATAGAGGCTGGAGCGGTTGTTGTGGCGG